TCTGATCCCAAATCCCTCCCCCCCCCCCCCCCGTCTCTCCTCCAGCCGCCCATCGCCCTGGTGCTCCTTCAGGTCTCTCTCCCGGGGCCGTCGCTGGGATCGTCATCGGGTCACTGGTGGGGGCGGCGCTCATCGGAGCCGGGGTCTATCTCCTCTGTGAGTAACAGCCCCCCACCCCCTGGGGAGCCAGGACTCCTAGGTTCTATCCCTGGCTCTGGGAGGGGAGTGGGGTTTAGTGGTTAGAGCAGCGGGGCTGGGAGACTGTGACAATGCGGTTCTGGTGGAACCCAACTGAGAGTGCCAACTCAGGACAAATTGCTCAAACAGGGCAGTTACAGACCAAGGCTGGGGTTTTTCCACCTCTAAGCCAAACCAAACCAAACCAGCCAGACTAGGAGGACTTCCACTGGCTAACCACAAGTCTCACAAGCAATTCCCTTAGACACTCCAGTTTCCCAGTATTATCACCAGTGCCACTCGTTATGGGGACAAATGGTTATGAAAACCAAAACCCCAGTAAAAGAAAAAGGTTCTCCTGATCCCAAAGGACCAAGCCCCAGACCCAGGTCAATATACAAATCAGATCTTACCCACAAATCACGCTGTTGCCAATCCTTTACAATCTAAAATCTAAAGGTTTATTCATAAAAGGAAAAAGATCGAGATGAGAGTTAGAATTGGTTAAATGGAATCAATGACATACAGTAATGGCAAAGTTCTTGGTTCAGGCTTGCAGCAGCGATGGAATAAACTGCAGGTTCAAATCAAGTCTCTGGAACATCCCCCGCTGGGATGGGTCCTCAGTCCTTTGTTCAAAGCTTCAGTTTGTAGCAAAGTCCCTCCAGAGGTATGAAGCAGGATTGAAGACCAGATGGAGATGAGGCATCAGCCTTATATAGTCTTTTCCAGGTGTAAGAACACCTCTTTGTTCTTACTGTGGAAAATTACAGCAAGATGGAGTCTGGAGTCACATGGGCCAGTCCCTGCATACTTTGCTGAGTTACAAGGCGTATCTGCCTTCCCTCAATGGGTCCATTGTATAGCTGATGGTCCCAGATTATATCAATAACGTCACAGAGACAGACCCCAATTCCAGCGCCTCTGATTCCTCCAGATTCTCGCTGCCGGAATGAAACCCCCAAGGAGAACGGGGCCCCCGTCCTGGCGTATGAGAACCTGCCCCCGACAGCCTGGGTGGGGTCTGCGGTGAGTGACAAGGGCTCAGCCCCTCCCTCTGCTATTCCAGTTCCGCCCCCTCCTCTGCAGGCGCCACTCAGTCCCCCAAGCTCAGCTGGAGGGAGGGGGGGGGTCCTCTGGGGTCTGGTGGTAACAACCCTCTTGCCTTTGTCTCCTGCAGGCCAAGCCCAGGAGCCCCCTTGACCCCAGCCCCACATACCAGGTGAGCACCGGCCCCTTGTGCTGTATCCTCCCCGTGAGGGGTGGTTGGACCCAGTGGGGGGAGGGGAGGAGATGCCCCCCCCAAGCCCTATGGCTGGGAACGGGGCTGGTTATCACATCCCAGAGCTGGGGGGGGCAGAGTGAGCCACAGGGGGACCAGCTGGGAGCCCCAGGGCTGAGCGGGGGACCCAGCACTGAGGGGGAGGGATGGGCCTCCAGGATGGGAGGGGCTTTGGGGCCAGTGCGGGGAGCTGGGGGGCTGTGTCCTGCAGGGCGGGGTCCTCAGCTCTCCCCTGGGGCGTCTCTGGCTGAATCATCCCCGTTTTCCCCAGACGCTGCAGCCCCGACAGCCGGACGTGTACGAGGAGCTGAAGAAGTGACGCCCCCTCCTGCCCCCCGTGCATGCTGGGAGGGGCCCGGGGCATGCTGGGAAAGGCGAGTCCCTGAGCCTGGGTCCTGCCGCCCCGGGGACGTCCCGTCGATGAAGCATTAGAGGGCAGGAACAGTCACCACCCGGCCCGGGGGGTCCGTCCGTCTGTCTGTCCATGCTGCTTCCCTGGGACCCATCACCGCAGCGTCTGGGCCCCTGCGAGGAGATCAGAAAGTCGGCGCCTGTGACTGGCTCCAGCTCCATTGTGCCCAGCCCAGGATTTGGCTTGGTGACGTCTCACGACCAAACACCCCCAGGCTGGGCACGTGCCCTGTTCTCTGCCCGCCTGACCTGAGCCTGGCGCTCTGTGTCCCGCACCAGGCCGCGGGAGCTCCCCACTGCACGGAGGGGCCCGGGCGGCTGAGTGACTGGCCTGGGTCCCACGGGGAGTCTGTGGGGCTGCAGGGACTCGGACCTGGGACTCCCCAGTGCCTGGCTGGTGCCCAAACCAGGGCCGGGGTCCCTGCCCAGGGCTTCCCCCCGACCCTCCCCCCAGCGCCTGGCCCCGCGTCTTCCCCTCCCCGGGGCAGTTCTCCCCTGCAGAGCTGTGAGCAGCGAATCCGACCCACCCGGCCGGGACCCGGGGTCCCTGGCGGAGGGCACAGGGCACCAGGGTCTCACGGGGCCCCCGGCTCTAACGTCTCCAGACCAGCCCCCAAAGGGGCTCGGGAGGTCCCTGCCCAGAGCCGGCAGCGCTGGGTGCGGTGACTGTGGTGAGCCGTGTGCCGGGGGCACGGCCGGAGCTGTGTCTGGCCTGAGTCCCAGCGGCTGGTTCCAGCCGGGCAGTGGGAGGCTCCAGGCCCGTCCCTGGCAGACAGGAGGCACCGGGCCGTTCTCTCTGTGCCTGACTCTGGGGGAGCTGAACCCCACAGGAGCTGCCAGGAGCGGGTTCGGGATGTCGGGGCTCCGGGAAGCACATTCCCATTTTATTCTCCATGTCACCCATTGTCCCATTAACTCCATAAGAACGGTGATACTGGGTCAGACCAAAGGTCCATCTAGCCCAGTGTCCTGTCTGCCGACAGTAGCCAATGCCAGGTGCCCCCGAGGGAATGAACAGACCAGGGAATCAGCAAGTGATCCATCCCCTGTCGCCCATTCCCAGCTTCTGGCAAACAGAGACTAAGGACACCATCCCTGCCCATCCTGGCTAATTGCCATTGATGGACCTGTCCTCCAGGAACTTCTCTAGTTCTTTTCTGAACCCTGTTATAGTTTGGCCTTCACAACCTCCTCTGGCAAGGAGTTCCACAGGTTGACTGTGCGTTTTGTGAAGTAATTTCATTTGCTGACCCCTAGTTCTTGTGTTATGAGGAGTAAATAACAGGAGCCCCCAGCGGCTCCTTCCCCCAGCTCTGGGCTCTGGCTGGTCCAGACACTCAGCCTGGTTTTCTCTGTAAGGCCTGGCCGTGCCGGGGCTGAGCGGGGCGCTGGCTGGGGGGGGTCACTGCTCAGCTGGGAGTTCGGGGTCTTGGGGGGGAGCTGGGAACTCGGCCAGTGGCAGCACCAGGGGCTGGGCGCCCCAGGGGGATACTGGGTGATTGGGGGGGGGCGATCGCTGACCTGTCGAGGGCTGAGCGGGGGGTTGTGCTGCCTGCGGAGGGGGGTCGGGGGTCTGACCCCCAGCAGGGCCAGATGAGGCTCCTCACAGTGGGGCAGGGGGTCACGAGGGGCCTGCCAGTCCGGCTCCCCGGGAAGCGTCAGATGGTGCAGGCCAGGGGTGCAGGGGGAGCAGAGCGGGAGCAAAGGCCCCACCCGCGAAGCAGCCAGACCGCGGGAGCCCCCGGCGCGATCCGGCCCCAGCAGGGCCAAGGGGACCCGGGTGCATCTGGCCCGGAGCCCGGCCGGGCTGGGCACTCGCTGCTGCCCCCTGCTGGCGAAGCGCGGCCCAGCCCCCCGCAGGGCTCAGCCGGACAGGGGCTGCCCCGGGAGGGAGCTCTCGGCCCCACTCCTGGTGAGCCAGGGGGCGGGCCCGCTGGCCCAGGCCTGATTTGCTTCCCTGTGTAGATAAATCTCTGATAATTTTCATATGACTTTATATTGTGCCTCTTCATGTAACCTTGTAGTGGGTCTACCCACGTGGGACCTCTGTTTTCATGGGACTTTGTATCAAAGTCTCATATAGAAACCTTGTTCTGATGAGCCTTGGTATAATGTTATAGCCCCTAAGGATAGAATAAGATAAAAGAAAAATGTCTTTTTGCTATGCATCCGAAGAAGTGGGCTGTAGTCCACGAAAGCTTATGCTCTAATAAATTTGTTAGTCTCTAAGGTGCCACAAGTCCTCCTGTTCTTCTTTTTGCTAGCAGTAGAACAAGAGCTCTTCCCCCGGGCCCCCCATCCACCCACACTTTGTAATCAATTGCCCTGTTGAATGAAGGAGGTGTGGATGAGGAAGGCGGGAGGCAGCACCTCCAGACAGCTGCAACTCTTGAAGAGGGGCTGGGAGCCAGACCCAAGGACAATAAAACGTGTCAAGTGGGCTCACTAAAGAAGATCAGACATATTGATGGCCTCGGGGGGAGGGGAGGGACGTTAGAAGCAAGTACCTTCTTTTGAAAACACCCTCTTTGAACAGCATTGGGACAACCCCCAGAGAGAAGCAGCACAAAGGACCAATGGACACAGACACGGATTTTGAAGCTGGTACAGATTTGCATAAGAGAAAAGCTGCTATAAATGTGAGGTGTCTTGCAGAGGACCCCGGGTCTCATCTTGTCAACACGGGAGCATCAATCCGGATCGGCAGAAGCCCGGCTCCACCCCCTCCCCACATCTAACTCACCTGGCCAGTGCAGTGAAGGGGAGCAACTAATTGGTAACAACAACAAGACAGAGTGTGCTTGTGTGAGTGCATGAGTGTATATATATATATTAATTGATTGATACATGTATTACCAATAAATGTGGCGCTTTGTCTTATGTCACGGACTCACAGATCGTGCCCACTCTTGGCCCCATGTGGTCCGTGGGGGGTGCCCCTTTCAGTGTGACAGCCCTTCTCGGGGGTCCATTCTCTCGGGGTCAGGCCCCTCCACCTCCTGGAGCCGCACCTCTCGGAGCCTTAGCACGTCTGTCTCTGCCATGGGGCCCCTGTGATGAACTGGGACTGTTCTTAATGTGGTCTTTGAATGCTGAGTGAGGAGTTTGGCTGGGACGCTCTGCACTGGGGGATGGGAGACTTGAGGGAAGACACCTGAGCATGTAACGTGAGAACCCAGGAAGGGGTTAGAGGCCAGGTGACACCTCTGCTCCGGAAACTGGACAAAGGTTATGGGAGGAGCTGGGGAAAGGTGGGGTGAGAGACGCTGGAGAGAGTGGGGGTTTTTCAGGAGCTGGCTGGTGTAATGAAGGGGAGACCAGATGGGGCTCTGACCCCCCCCCAATGGGGCTGTGGTGCCCCTGGGACCCCAAGATGCACCTAACTGAGGAGATCTTGTTGTCTGTGCCTGCAAGACCTGTCTTGGACTGCACTGGAATTGATATGCAAACTAGATACAATCAACTCAGGATTGAATAAGGACTGGGAATGGCTGAGCCATTACAAACATTGAATCTATCTCCCCTTGTAAGTATTCTCACACTTCTTATCACATCTTTCTGTACTGGGGTAGTCTGATTTGCACTTCAAAAGTTTTTTTCCTCTTACTTAATTGGCCTCTCAGAGTTGGTAAGACAACTCGTGTGTGTGTGTGTGTGTGTGTGTGTGTGTGTAATATGTTTCACTCTATATGCAGCCGATGAAGTGGGTTGTAGTCCACGAAAGCTTATGCTCAGATAAATGTGTTAGTCTCTAAGGTGCCACAAGTACTTCTGTTCTTTTTGCAGATACAGACTAACACGGCTGCTACTCTGAAACCTGTCTTGGACTGTGTTCCTGTCGTCTAAATAAACCTTCTGCTTTACTGGCTGGCTGAGAGTCATGGTGAATCGCAGGAAGCCTGGGGGGGGGGGGCAGGGCCTTGTGTCCCCCCACGTTCCGTGACACCCCCTCAGGAAGTCCCCTCGCTCTGGACCCCCATGGCCTCCGCCCCCACGAAAGGGTCAATTCCCCCCCTGTTCTCTAGCCCAGAGCGACTCTCAGCCAGCGTAACACAGGAGGTTTATTGAGTGTTGAACACAGCACAGGAAACTCTCAGGGCCTCAGGCCTGGCCTTCCTCAGCCCAGCACATCCCAGTCTCCCTGCATCCAGGTGGGCTCTGCCTGCTCCCCCTCTCCAGCCCCGAGCCTCCCTGCTTCCCCGCTGGGCAGCTGATACCCCCAGGCCCAAGCCCCCCATCTGTCCATTGTCTTCTCTCCAGGTAAACAGGGTCGTAAACTGGGCCTCCTCTCCTCGCTTCTGTCCTCTGGCTGGAACCGGCTGGTCAGGTCACTGGGTCCTCACTCTGCAGCCCATTGTCCTCCCACTGGCCAGAACCGGCTGCGTCTCCTCAGCTGGGCCTCTTGGTCGGGGTGTCAGGTCACCAGTCACTGGGGTATCCATCCTCTAGGCCATCGGCTGTGGTCCCAAGTTCCCTCTCCAGTCCTCTGTAACAACAAACTCCCTCTCCCCTCCCCTCGTTAAACCAGTAACAGCAAACCATTGGAAAACCACAGAAAAAACAAGAAAATCCCCCACTTCGTCACAACTTATCCCCCCTGAAAAGATCCTGTGCAGTATTTTAAGTACAACATCTGTGCTGGGACCCTTTGGGCTTTGCCCCCTCGCTGCGGGGGGGGGGGGGCTGGGTGTGGCCCAGGGAGCCGTGCCTGGTTACGGTGCCCCAGGAGACTGGTTTAGTGGGTGTTTGGATCCGACGGGCAGCGCTGGTTTGGACTTTGTGACCCCAGCTTGTCCGTCTGGCTGGGCGGGGGTCTGTGTCCGGCGGGAGGGGTCTGTGTCTGGCTGGGCGGGGGTCTGTGTCGGGCTGGGGGGGTCTGTGTCAGGCTGGGGGGGTCTGTGTCAGGCTGGGGGGGTCTGTTGCCTGTTTCTGCTGGTTCCTGTTCCCCACGTGCCCCGTCTCTCGCCCTCGGCTGCTTCTCTTTTCAGTGAGTCCAACTTTCCTCCTGGCCGTGCCCGGTCTGACCGCACGGTGGGAGGGGCGGGGGGGGGGGCAGGTTTGTATAATTTCTGGTGGTGCCGAGAACAGGTCCAGGGCCATCCCTACCCATATGCAAAGTATGCAGCTGCGCAGGGCACCAGGAAATTTGGGGCACCACATTTCCTGGTGCCCTGTGCTGCTCCAGCCCCTGCCCCGCCTCTTCCCCAGGGCCCTGTCTCTGCTCACCCCAACCCCACCTCTTCCCGCCCCCACCCTCTCTCCACCCCTTCCCCAAAGCCCCTGCTCCACCCTGCACTCACCGGGCAGCAGGAAGTGGAGCAACCCAGCCCCAACCCCCTCCACTCCACCGGCTCGTGCTGGGGGGCGGTTCCCCCCTGCCCCCCCAAGCCTGCTCCTGCCCCCACGCTGAGGCCTAGGGCCCCACACAGCTCCCCCATGAGGGGGGGGGCTGCGCAGGGCACCATAATGGCTAGGGATGGCCCAGAACGGGTCCAACCAGGACAGGTAAGTTCCAGTAGAAACCCCTTATGCTCTCTTAGCAAATCTGACTCAATTGTCCAGAGTCCAATGATTAAAATCAGATTGTCTCTTTGCCTCGATTATTGACAGACATTGCTTTGGAAAAGGGCCCGTTTTCCCTTCAGAATGGCTGCAGAGAAACCAAGAATTCTCTTCCTCTCACTTTCCCTTTTTTAAATATTTTCACATCTATCAACTGTTCAATTCCCTCCAGCCTCTGCAGGGTTAACTTCTCACTCGCTTTCCTTCAATCACTCGCTTCTCTCCCAAAATGACACCTTCATCACCCCAGATATCACCCATTCATCCAGCCCAGACTTCTTTAACTTGGCGGCAAGAATACTGTGGGAGACCGTATCAAAAGCTTTGCTAAAGTCAAGGAATAACACATCCACTGCTTTCCCCTCATCCACAGAGCCAGTTATCTCCTCAGAGAAGGCAATTAGGTTCGTCAGGCATGACTTCCCCTTGGTGAATCCATGCTGACTGTTCCTGATCACTTTCCTCTCCTCCAAGTGCTTCAGAATTGATTCCTTGAGGACCTGCTCAATCTCTTTATCTCTTGCCTGCCTGCGTGTCTGGGCCTGATCCTGCTTTCCTCGCTGAACCGTCCCTTCCCATGCGCCCAGGCTTTGTCCCACTAACCATTTAGTGTGTGGGGCTCCTCAACTAGTCCCCACCCCTCCTGGTCCCTTGTCTTCCTTCCCGTTCTCTCTTGTAGCTCTGGGGGGTCATTATTCCAGGTAGGCAGTGACCCTTTCCGACAGACGGCACTGGGGTCAGGTGTCACCTCACACTCTAGGGCACCTGCCCCCACCTACCCAATCCTAACGCAGGTTTCAGAGTAGCAGCCGTGTTAGTCTGTATCCGCAAAAAGAACCGGAGTACTTGTGGCACCTTAGAGACTAACAAATTTATTTGAGCATATTCTTTCGTGGGCTAAAACCCACTTCTTTGGATGCATAGAATGGAACATATATTGAGGAGATCTATAGACACGTACAGAGAGCATGAAGAGCTGGGAGTTGTTTACCAACTCTGAGAGGCCAATTAAGTAACAGGAAAAAACAAACTTTTGAAGTGCTAATCAAGATAGCCCGGTACAGACATGTTGATAAGAAGTGTGAGAATACTTACAGGGGGAGGTAGATTCGATGTTTGTAATGGCTCAGCCATTCCCAGTCTCTGTTCAAGCCTAAATTGATTGTATCCTAACGCAGTGTCACCAAATCCTCTAACCAATCCCCCCCCCCACCTTCATTCATTAACACCCAGCAACATTAATTCTGGAACAGACAGAAACGATCAAAGACCAGCCAGAGACAGAGACGCAGGCGCAGTAGGGAAGTGGGGACCATACAGATAAAACAATGAAGAAATGAGGATTTCACAGCCACAGCTATTGAGAAGTGGTTTCTTGCCAGACAGGCGCTGTCAGGCTCAGTTTTCTGTACCCAGTTGACGGTCGGTGTCTTTCCCTGGGGGAGGTGGGGGTCACTGGGACGGGGTCTCCTCACCAGCCCCAGATGTCAGCGGTTTAATGTCATTTCGCTGGAATGTGGGGATGTGACGCCCCGCTTCTCCCCCAATCGCTGCTGCCCCCTGCTGGCGACGCGCGGCCCAGCCCCCCGCAGGGCTCAGCCGGACAGGGGCTGCCCCGGGAGGGAGCTCTCGGCCCCCCTCCTGGTGAGCTGGGGGGGTGGCCCCGCTGGGCCAGGCCTGATTTGCACCCCTGGGCTGGGACCCTCTGGGCTTTGCCCTTCGCTGCAGCAGGACCCAGGGGCGCTGGAGCCATATGGACAATGGGGGGCTGAGAGCCATTGACCCGAACTGCAAACCCTGCGTATGATGGAAACCACGTCTGGCCGGGGGTGCGGCAGCCCCCTAGTTCCAGCACCCGCGGCAGGACCCATCTCGATACAGTGGGGGGGGTCTGTGCTGGGAGCCTGGACCCACAGGCAGGGCAGCCCCACAGGGCCATTCCTGGCTGAGACTGTCCCCTCCCAGCCGCACCCGCCCACTTCCCCTTCGGCTGCTAGGGAACAGTGTGTGTGTGTGTGTGTGTGTGTGTGTGTGTGTGTGTGTGTGTGTGTGTGTGT